AAAAATGTCTTAGAAGGAGTTTTAGAAAGTGATGAGAGAGAGCTTAAAAAAACAAAACAAAACATGGAAAATTTGTGTTATGAAAAAAACAGAACATATAGCTCAGTTTTTGGTATAAAACCTGCTGTAAACCCTGCCCCCAATGCTGCCCCACCCCAACTGCCACCCAATTCATTTTAACTCATGATGCACCCTCCCTTGGAGAGTGCCCTTCCCGCAGTGGGAAAGTGACCCATGTGAGGCAATCCTAAGGTCATTAGGGCACAAGACCCCAAGGGAGCGAGATTCTGTGATGGTGCTGTCCACCAGTCCTGGAACAGGGCAGCAGGCCCTAGACAAGGTTTTTTTTTTTTTTCCCCAGGAAGTTGAAATTTATAAACCACTTAATCCAACTGAGCATCCTAAGGAATGATTCTTTTTAAGGGTTTATTTATTTTTATTGCAAAGGCAGATTTATAGAGAGGAGAGACAGAAAGATTTTCCATTCATTGATTCATTCCCCAAGTGTCCGCAACAACTGGAATTGAGCCGCTCTAAAGCCAGGAGCCAGGAGCTGCTTCTGGGTCTCCCATGTGGTGCAGGGTCCCAAGGCTCTGGGCTGTCCTCCACTGCTTTCCCAGGCCAACAAGCAGGGAACTGGATGGGAAGGCGTGCCCTGGGAGGCAGCAGGTTCAAGTCCTTGGGTCCCTGCCACCCACAGGGAGACCTGGATTGGGTCCTTGGCTTCTGACTCAGCCCCAGCCGCAGCAGACACCTGGGGTGGGGGCGCGAGGGGGGAGGGTTGAACCAGTGGCTGGGAACTCTCTCCCTATCTACCTCTAAAATAAATGAATACAATTTCAAAAAATCCCTACCCAACACAGAATGTATTTTAAAAAAAAAAGTCAACATTTAAAAGATAAACATCTGATGCTGAATTTGGCATTGAATTATTTATATTTTTCACATGATTATCAATTATTATTGCATAGAATATTCTGAGGAAATGAAACAAAGACAGAAAATTGCTAACCGTAGGAAAACAGTAAGTTTCTGTTTTACTGAAAGGGAAGATACTTATAACTTACCACATGGTGCAGCTCTGAGCAGCATGTGCATGTTACAGTAAGGCTTGCTAAGGCTTTTAAAGGGGTATTTTTCATTACCTTAAAGATGTTTCGGGCTCAGTGCGATGGCCAGTTCAAGTCCTCACCTTGAACGCCCGGGATCCCATATGGGCGCTGGTTCTAATCCCAGCAGCCCTGCTTCCCATCCAGCTCCCTGCTTGTGGCCTGGGAAAGCCGTTGAGGACGGCCCAAAGCCTTGGGACGCTGCACCCGCGTGGGAGACCTGGAGGAGGTTCCTGGCTCCTGGTTTCAGATCAGTGCAGCACCGGCTGTTGCGGTCACTTGGGGAGTGAATCAATGGATGAAAGATCTTCCTCTCTGTCTCTCCTCCTTTCTGTATATCTGACTTTGCCATAAAAATAAATAAATCTTTGAAAAAAAAGATGTTTCAGATTATAATTCACATTTGTTTCGATGTTGACATTTTTATTTTGATTATTTGAAAGGCAGTACACACACACACACACACACACACACACACACACACGTTTTCCATCAGCTGGTTTGCTTCCCAAAGGGGCGTGATGGCCAGGGCTGGGTGAGGCCGAGACCAGAGGCCTGGGACTCAATCCGGGGGTCACACGTGGGTACCACGCAGGACCCCTGCTCCCCACTCTCCAGGAAGGTCATGTTCATGAGCAGATCAATTTCTTAGCCCCAAGCTTTCTGAGCCCTTGGTGATGGCCTGAAGCCACCCAGGCTGGATGCCAGGGTGTGTGACAGGCACCACAGGCGTGCTGTGAGGAGAGGAACGCTCCTCCGGTCCTGCCACCATCCCTGCAGCTGGGAGCCGACTGACAGGAAGTCACGTCAGAGGGCTCCAGAGGGAGGAGGGGGAGGAGCGGCAGTGGCAGTCTGAGACAGGGAGAGCAGGACTCAGGGGACCTGAGCTGTCCCTGGCTGCCTCCTAGGGTGAGTGTATCAGGAGACTGGAATCGGAAGTGCTGCCAGCAAGAGAATCCAGGCCCTTCGATATGGGAAGTGGCATCCCAAGGGCCTCAAGCATGGACCCAATGCAATAGCCTAGTGGTTAAAATACGTGTCTTCGATTCTGCAGGATCCTATATGGACACTAGTTCATATCTCAACTGCTCTACTTCCCACCCAGCTCCCTGCTTGTGGCCTGGGAATGCTGTCGAGCACGGCCCAAAGCTTTGGGACCCTGACCCCGTGTGGGAGACCCGGAAGAGGATCTGGGCTCCTGGCTTTGGACTTGCACAGCATCGGCCGTTGTGCTCACTTGAGGAGTGAATGATGGGACAGAAGATCTCCCTCTCTGTTTCTCCTCCTCTGACTTTGCAATAAAAATAAATATATCTTTTTAAAAAAAGATTAAACAAATATTTAAAATATAATAATTTCCTTCCTCATAGGAGTAGGCAAGTAGGCAAGCCAGGGGCTGCTCAGCTTAGCTTGCAGGAGCCAGTGGCTGCGGGTCATGGAACATGCTAAATGGCTACATTCAGGCCACGTGGTCTTGGTCACCCCTTGGGGCTCAGGGCTGGAGTCAGCCCCACTTCAACCACACAGATTCAGAAGACCACAAAGATAATTTGGGTGCTTTTGCCTAAATAAAGGGGAGTAGGTGCTCAAAAGACAGAACTAGCCTCCTGTTACTGCTGGCCTCTGTGGTCCCTACTGTGACATTAATGAGCCCTCAGCCCTCCATCACCTAGTTACTCCCCGTTTTGCTTTGACCTTGAAATGGACTTGAGCCCCCGCAATACACAGGAGGGAAAAATCAAGCTTCCTTCAGGTTCATGGTCTCTCTAGGGAATCTCAGGGTGAGGCTGAGCCAGCCCGGGTCTCCAAGCCCCTCCCGGCTGTCCTTGCGTGGCCCCTGCCCTGGAAGCCACTGTCTTCTCATACTCTGGCTCCTGGGTTTGCACCTTGGCCTGAAGTGCCACTCGCTAGGGTGGCACTGTGAGCACTTCTGAAGTGCTTCTTCTTTTGCCCACCTGTCCATCCCAGGCCAGACACTGGAGGGTTGTATGGGTCTCGATGTTTCTGAGAGAGGAAGAGGAGGGATTCCTCATCTAATGAATGTAAGCTGAGCAGGGGGAGGAGGTAACGAGACGTTTGAGGTAGCTTCTCCCATTGTGGCTTATCTCGCCTTGGCTCCGGTGGCTGGCATCGGTGCGGGGTCAGGAAAACTTTCTTGCAGAGCATCTTGGGGCAAAAAAGGTCCCAAATTACAACTGTCACCTGCTGAGATTCAGTGCTACTGGAGCATGAGTTAGTCTAGTCTGACCACAGGCAAGGACATGAAACACCCTCCACAACGTTTTCCATCACCCAAAGTAGGCAGGGACCCAGGGTAAATGCAACGACCTAGAGGTTACGCAGGCTGCCTGGGTTCTAGGGTAGCGTGGGGGAGGCTGGTGTCCCAGTGTCCTTGCGGTCACGCCCAGCAACTGGCAAAAGAAACCAGATGGTGGCAAACTGAGGCCCCCTGGTGGTGAGTCCTGGCATGTTGACACAGGAGGGAACACGAGCTTAGTTTACTTTTTTATAAGATTTATTGTTATTAATTTTTTAAATTAGAAAGTCAGATTTACAGAAAGAAGGAGAGATACAGAGAAAGATCTTCCATCTGCTGGTTCACTCCCCAACTGGCTGCAACGGCCAGAACTGAGCAGTTCCGAAACCAGGAGCCAGGAGCTTCTTCTGGGTCTCGCATGTGGGTGCAGGGTCCCAAGGTTTTGATCATCTGCTGCTTTCCCAGGGCACAAACAGAAAGCTGGATGGGAAGTGGAGCAGTCAGGACAAGAACTGGTGCCCATATGGGATGCTAGTGCTAGCAGATGGAGCAATAGCACGCTAAGCCATGGCCCCACTTCTAATCAGGCAGTATCTGCATAACTAGGGATCCAGTCATGCAGTTAACATGTGCTTTTCCTCTACCCCATAACAGTGTGATTAAAAAAAAAAGATTTGGGCCCGGCGCGGTGGCGCAGTGGTTAAGGTCCTTGCCTTGCACGCCTGGGATCCCATGTGGGCGCCGGTTCTAATCCCGGCAGCCCCGCTTCCCATCCAGCTCCCTACTTGTGGCCCGGGAAAGCAGTCGAGGACGGCCCAAAGCTTTGGGACCCTGCACCCGCGTGGGAGACCCGGAAGAGGCTCCTGGCTTCAGATCAGCATTGGCCGTTGCGCTCACTTGGGGAGTGAATCATCGGACAGAAGATCTTCCTCTCTGTCTCTCCTCTCTGTATATCTGACTTTCCAATAAAAATTTAAAAAAAAATAAATAAATCTTTAAAAAAAAAACAACAAAAACAAAACATCTGTTTTTCCTCTTGAAGTGTCAGGAATGTGATGGAGATTGCTTCTCTTGTTAGCTGCATCCTTGTCCACCAAATAGCACTATGTATCCACTCATTGACAGACTGTATCACCGCATCCAGACCTTGCTGCTGGCGTGGGGGCTGGGGAGGGACTGCAGGTTGGCCAGATGTGCCCCCACGCATACTGTTCCTACAGAACTTACGGTGTGAGTGGAGAAAGAGGCGCGCACGCGTGCACACACACACACACACACACACACACACACACACGTTGACATCACGGCAGGGATCCGGAGCAAGGGAAGTCGGGAGATCCCTCTGGTGGATCTGGGAAGCAGCAGGAAGCCCAGTTCATCCACGTGTTTGCTAAGTGTTGGCTGAGTGGAAGCTGGAACAACTGGCGTGTTCTGTCCCTCTGGGCTTCTGTGAGTGTCTCCTGCCCGTCCCAGGGGCTCCGAGCTGGAGCTGGTTCCCTGCCACCCTCCAGCCCCGATCCGGGGCTTCTCTCAGACTCGGCACAGCACCTGTCAGGGTCAGGCCTTCCATTTCCCAGGGACCCCATGTGTCCTGTCACCCCACAGCCCAAACAGACAACAGCCAGCCAGCAGTGATTTTTCTAAACTTTTGTTTATTTTATAGCAATTGTCATGATTAGAGAAGTAAATAAGACATTTAAAAATCTTCTGGGAGTGGGCGAAGGAGGTCAGGATATTTACAAACACGTGGGGTGGGGAAGACGAGACACAAGTATCTGGGACCTGGGCTGCCCCCCAGACCCCCGCCCCAGGCCCCCAGCTGGATGCTGAAGCCAGCTGCCAGGACTGTCCCAGCAGCCACAGCGTGGGCTCAGGACACATCGGGCAGCTTTGGCGGGGGGTAGCTCTGCCCCACGGGCCTGATGGGAGACCCTGTAGCTGCTCTGTGCCCGCCTCCTGTCCAGGGGACTCCCCACATCCCACAGGCCAGCTCAGAGGGATCTCTGGGGAGCACCGAAGGGCAGGGGGCAGTGTGGGTGACACGGGGGCTGGGACAGAGGTTGGGGACAACCTGGCCTGCCCAGGGTGTGAGCATACACGCACACACACACACACACATACACACACACAGAGTATACTTTCACAGAACTGCAAGGGGAAACAGGTTTTTTTTTTTAAGTTTTTTTTTTTTTGTATTTTTGTTTTCTACATCTCCATGTCTACGGTGTTATTTTTTGCTAGTATTTTTTGTTTGTTTCTTTGACTGTAACATCAACTGAGGTAAACATCTGTGACCAACACATCTCCTAGAAAGGGCAGAGGGTCCCGACCCAGCCAACGGCGGCGGTGGCGGCCGTGGCCTGACAGGGTTTGTCTGGGGCCAGTCTGGTGGCTGCAAACCCAGGGCGGGCAGGGCTACGAAGCTACGGTCCCTTCCCAACGCTAACATCCTAGATACTACGACGAGGGAGCCAACTCCCAAACAGGATCTTAACAGAGAAAAAGAGAGAAAGAGAAGAGAGAGGGCCTGGCGGGCACGTGGACTGTTGGAATTTCGCTTCCTTGTTATTGCAGGAGACACCAGGGTGTGGAGAGGCCTAAGGCAGAAGGAGAAGTTGCGGCAGGGGAGAGGTGGTGGCCCCTGTGGCCCCTCGGGCTTCAGCTGGGCCGGGGGCAGTGAGGGGGAGGGGCCTTCCGGGAGACCTGGCCCTTGGCAGGAGGGGTTTTGCTACTTACCTGGCACGTGGAGGGTCCCATGTCCCCAGGGAGGAGAGGGGCCAGGCCCTGGGACAGCCGCACAGCTTGTAAACGGGACCTTGGCAGGGCAGGGGACCTATAGCCCTTTGCGTGGTGGGAGTGAGGGGGTGAGCTGGAAATGTGGTGGTATTGGGGGACTCCAGGCCAGAGGGCGGTCAGAGACTCTTCGAAGCCAGCCTGGCCCATCAATGCCCCGGAACCCAGTAGGGACCCACCTAGTAGGGGTGGCCCAGGACCGTGGGTGGGGCATGGCCAGGCGGAGGGCACAGCCTCACCCCTGTTGAGGTTATTGCGGGGATCCCAGGCCTGCAAAGAGGGCAGGGGGTCACCCGGGAGGACTGGGCAAGGCTGGGTTCCCCTCAGTGTTGTGGCCCTGGTGTCTGAAGGGTCCTTCAGGTGTCTCGGTGCTGCTTCCTCTGAGCGCTGCGGGAAGATGCAGGCCCAGGCACCCTGAGAGGTGGGCGGGGCTTTGGAGGCAGCTGGACACAGTCACTGGAACACCTGAGGCAACACACACACACACACCTGCACTACACACACACACACAGCTGCACTACACAGCCACACCTAGGCAGACACAGCTAGACACACACCTGCACTCTGCACTCACACCTAGACACACACCTGCACTCACTTACGCACTCACACCTGAACTCTACACAGCCACACCTGCAGTGCAGCACCCCCACACCACACCGCATGCAGCTCCCAACCCCCCTCCAGCAACCTGAGAGACACAGAAAAAAAACAACAAACCATCAGCCGTCTTTGGAGGCTAAGGGGTTTGATACCAATAAAAACCCAGCTGAGATTCCTAACTGGGGATCCCCTTGCTGCAGGCTGGGATGGTCTACAGGTGGCAAGGGACTAAAGGGGGGGACTCTGCTAGTCGGGGTGGGGCTCTGCTAGTCAGCGGGACCCCACACAACAGCCAGGACTGGGAACAGGGGTGTGGAGGAGCCGCTAAGGGCCTGTTGCTGCAGGAACGCGCACGCGCACACACACACACTCAAGCATACATCCGCACCCAGACATTTGCTACATTTTCCTGGGGCTTGGCTTCTCCCTCCAGCCTCCCCAGCAAGCGGTGGGTCTCAGCGCAATGTCCTCACACCAGCCAGTGCCCAGCAGCCTGCAGCCCCTCCTTTGCCCAACGTCAGTCCTTCTCTGTGCCCAGGGCCCCAGGTGGGGGTAAGAGTGTGTGTGTGGGGGGGGAGGTGGGGGTGGAGGGAAGATGTGGATCTGCCAAGGGGATGCCAACAGTCAGGAGCAGAACTTGGCGGGATTCCCGGGCTGGAGGTGTCAGGGGGTGAAGCCCCCACACTCTGTTGCTCCCAGTGTGTGTGCGGGTGGGTGGGTGTGGGGTGTGGGCCTCTGGAATCCTCTCGGGTCTGCAGGGTTCGGCTCCTCCAGGTCAAGCAGTCGCCCCCACGAGGTGGCATGGTCACCACCAGGCTGCTGTGGGTGGCCGGGGTCAGCCGGCCCGCTTCCCTCTACCTGCTGCGGAGGCTTCTTCTCCATCTCCTGCTGCCAACACCAGCACCGGCTTGTTGCTTGGGGTGGGGATGGGGGTCCTGGGAGGCTCCCGCATCCCTCCCCTCGTCCTCACCTGGCTGTGCGTGGTGCCCCAGGCCCGAGGGCGGCTCAGACGCAGATTTCGATGGCCGTGGCCAGCACCACCTGCCCTTTGCTCTTGTCCGGGCGGCCATCGGTCCTGCCGGAGGGCCCCGGGGGCGCCAAGCCGGTCTCGGGCACAGGCACCGGCACGGGTACCGGCACGGGCACAGGTGCAGGCCCGACGGCCGGGGGTGCGGGCCGGGAACCGCTGCCGCTTTCGGTCAGCACTGTCCGCTTGAGCGGCCCGGGCGCCTCGAGGCGCAGCGGCCCGGCAGGCAGCCGGTCTCCAGGCGGCTTGCGCGCGCGGTGCGAGGGCCTGCGCCGCAGCTCCGACGTGAGCTCGTGCTTGAGGAAGCGGAAGACCTCCTTGGCCGGCCCTCGGCGCTCCGGCTCCAGAGCCAGCAGGCGCTGGAACATGCGCAGGGCAGGCTCGGTGAAGCGCCGCCACTGCGATGGCAGCCCTGGCAGGCGGCCGCGCTGCCAGCGCACGAACTCCTCGAAGAAGGCGTCGGCGCCCGACGCCGCCTCCCACGGGAAGTTGCCCGTGAGCACGCAGAAGATGAGCACGCCGAAGGCCCACACGTCCACGCCTGTGTCCACGGCGAAGCCGTCGGCGCGGCCGGCCTGGCACACCTCGGGCGCCGTGTAGGGGATCGTGCCACTCACACGCTTCACGCGGCAGCCCACGCGGCGCGTCATGCCGAAGTCAGCCAGCTTCACGCGGCGACACTCGCGGTCGAAGAGCAGCACATTCTCGGGCTTGATGTCGCGGTGTACCAGCTGTCGCCCGTGCATGAAGTCCAGTGCCAGCCCCAGCTGCTGCACACAGCGCTTCACCGTGTCCTCGGGGAGCCCCACCTGCCAGCCGGCGCGGAGAGGACAAGTCACCCTCGCGGCTCCTTCTCGCATCCCACCCACCTGTCGCCCCTCCTCGGGCCTGGGTGGACGTTGGAGTTTGCATGCCCTGCCCTTGATGCAGGAACCACATGGCCACGGCGCCATGGGCTCCCCCTCCGCTCATCGCTTAATGGGTGGCCACTGTGAGCCATTTGCCAGCCAGTGCCAGGCACCTTCCAGCATAGTCTCCACTCCCTGGCTGCAGGGCCCCCTTGCCGCCAGGTGGCTCTGGGCAAGTCCAGGGGAGGGTGAGGTGGGGCGGGACCCCACAGGTGACTGCCCTGTCCCTTACTTGGGCTCACAGAGCGGTCAGACCTCTGTCTTCTTTGCTCTGTATCCCCAACCCCCAGACAGTGACCGCACACACAGCTGCAGGTGCCCAAGCGAGTGGCCCCTCCGCTTCCCCACTCTCCCTCTGCCTCCCCCCTCCTCCGTAAGGCTGTCTCCCTCAGCCTTGAACCCCCGCATCTCCAGTACCTGGGGAGGGATGATGTCAAACAGGTCCCCGGCGGGCGCGTACTCCTGGGCGAAGACGTAACAGTCCTCGGTCTCGAAGACCACGTCGAAGACTTTGATGATGAAGGGGCTCGCAGACAGGCTGTTGGTGATGCTCACCTCCCGCAGGAAGTTCTTCAGCTTGGTTTTGCTCTTGTTCACGAACTTCAGCGCCATTTTCGTACCTGGGGTCGTGGTGCGAGCAGGTAGGAGGCAGTGAAGCCCACTCCCCTTCCCTCCCGCCCAACTCTCCTCCACCCCAGGTCTGTCCACAGAGCCTGTTCTAGCGCCACACAGAGGTGGGCAGGGGGATGTCTTTCCTGCCACTTGCAGCCCCTGCCGTGCCAGGAGGGCCTCTGGCCTCCAAGAACTCCTCCCAACCAGATGCAGGGTTGGGGGCAACTTAAAAAAGGTCATGGCAAAATGTATATCATGAGAAAAGATTATATCTCGTATCTCGAGCCTGGAGCCTCCTGCCCGCTCCAGTTCCACATTCAGGATGTGTTTTGAGACAATGTATTCAGCACGCAGGTGGGTAACCACTGCCATTATTCCTTGAACAACACAGAATGGCCACAATTTTCACAACGTGACATCTTATCAGCTATGACAAATAATCCAGAGATGACGTAAGCTACTCAGGAAGGCCATTGGCAAATCCTGGGGTGTCTGCAAATCCTTGAGTATTTGTAGGGGTTGCCATCCGCTAGGGGCCTGAACCCAACCCTCTGTGGGTATCAAGGGTTAAGGGAGCTTGTCTGTTTCCCATTTGTCTCACAGAGCTAGACTGCAGTTTCTGGAGTGCACAGTAGGAGGCACTGCGAGGCACAGGTCCCGGCACACCCATCTGCCCATGTGTGCCCATGTGACCACCTAGCACTTGCACAGCTCCCAGACCCTGCTCTGCAGCGCTTCCCAATGACCCTGAGAGGTGATGTAAGGCGACCCCATTTTACAGAAGGGAAAACTGAGGCATGCATGGAGTGGGGGTTAAATCCTTGGCTTGAGATCACACAGCAATGCCCAGGGCTCCTGCTGCTGTCTGCCCCTCAGTCGGCACAAAGCCCTGGCCCAGGTGTGTGCAGCCCCTGACTGGCAGCTGGATGGGCACTGCTGGGAGTCCAGGGTAGGTATGGGATAGGGAGGGGGCAGTGGCAGGAGCAGGGGAAGAGAATGTTCTGGAGCTGACCGGAGTCATCTGAGTGCAGAGCCTTTGTGGCTGTAGGCTCTGGGCCAAGAGACTCGCTGTGTCCCTTATCTGAGCTGACCTCCCAGGATTGGTCCCCCTGCCTCGGAGTGTGCACCCTAGGTTCCCTCTCCCCTCCCCAGGCTGGCTGTCACTGTGACCATGGAGATTGCCTGGGTTCAACTGCCAGTTGTACCCCTTGCCCTGAACCCCAGGTTCAAGGGCAGCCCATATGTCACCAAAGCTGCCCACCACAGTCTGGACACCCTGGTCTCCCCACCCCTGGTTCCTCCCTTGTAACCTGCCCAGCTTTGTCCACTCCACCTGGATCCCTGATCTCCCTTCCTTGTTGGCCTCCTGCCCTGCCCCCGACCCTGTCCTGCCAAGTGAGCAACCACCCATGTCCCCAGACACTCACCTGTACCCTTGTAGGCTACCAGGTCAACCTTGCCATAGGTGCCTTTGCCCAGCTCCCGGACGAGTTCATAGTGCTTGGTGACGTCGCTAGCGGCCAGCGTGCGGAGGGTCAGTGCCTGCATGTCCTCAGTGAGCAGGGGCACACCCGCCCCAGATCCCGGGGCGGCCCCCGGCCCACAGCAGGGCAGGGAGCGGGCTGGCTCAGGCTCTGGGCAGCCCACGCTCATCTTCTCCCTGTGGTGGGGGATACGGCTTGACGGGGATATCAGGCTGGAGCCCCCTCTTCCGCTCCCCAAAGCACCCCGAAGCCAGAGGTTGGGTCCAGATGCTAGACCCAAGACGGCCATGAGGGGGCGACAAGCATCTTTGTCATGTTAGCCTCCCTGGCTGATTCTAGGTCCTCACCCCTTGCGGCGGCACAGCCAGCCCGGTCAGCTCGTGCTGTCACCCACGTTTATGTCACACAGTGACAAGGACACACACTGACCACTTCCACCCACAGTTACTGGCGGACATGAGCACCTGTCACCAGGTGCCCTTTAAAGCCCTGGGAACACAGGGACCAACATGCTTTCCTGGGGCTCATGTTCTGGGGGGAGCTGGGACAACCTCAAGACCCCACACATTCTGTGTGACAGTGGAAGGGCATGTTCAAGACCAAACAGACTCCAGACATGGCCACGTGACAACACCGCCATGCACACCCCGGCCTGTGTCATCGTGACATCTCGCTCCTGCACACACACACACCCCACAGCTGTGAGCCCAGGGTTCCGCTCAGCTACCAGTGAGCACCTGTCCCACAACAACCCAGGAGCTGGCACTGTGGTCCCCGGCTTAAAGCATCTGCTGCAGTACAAGCATTGCATATGAGCGCTGGGTGGCCCCAGCTGCTCCACTTCTAACCCGGCTCCCCGCTCATGCACCTGGGGAAGCAGCGGACGATAATCCAAAGTTCTTGAGTCCCTTGCCAACCACATGGGGGACCTGGATGGAATTCCGCTCCCCTAACTATTTCAGTCATTTGGGGAGTGGACCAGCAGAAGGAAGATCTGTTTCTATCACTTGGCTTATTAAGTGAAATCTAAAGGGGGGGGGGACGGACCCAGCCAAGTGGCCAGGTGACCCCTTTGGTGTGCACACAGCTAGGTGGCCCTGGATCTGGCATCCCCAGATGCATCTGTGAGGTTGGAGGAACCAGGCAGCCCAAAAGGCCAGGGCTGGCAGGGGGCATAGTCAAAAGCCCCAGCCAAGGTCTTCTCTTTTCTTATTCCTTTCTGCTTTCACCTGAACTCCCCACTCAGTTTCCCCACGTGTACCTAGGCGCCTTTGCTATAACAGGAACACAGAACCCGTGTCCAGTATCCCCTGGGATGAGCTTTGACAGGTGTCTGTGCTTCACAGAGCCAACCCGGTGGTTCAGACACGGCGGGCTGCAAGCCCCAGGGCTTCCTCAGGCCCCTGTTATAGACAGGGCCCCATCCCTCACCGCCCCGTTTCCAAGCAACCACGTCTAGGCCTTCCATTCTCATCAGTGGGGGAGGGGTGGCCCAGAGGCGCCAAACCGTTTCCAGGAGCAGCCTATGCGGCAGCCTGTGCGGGTACCTGTGCCTGGATGTCCTGCAAGCTGCCTCCAGACCCAAGGGCCCACCTCCTGCTGCACCCCATCCCACTCCAACTGCTGGCCAGACCCTGGCTCTAAGAAGGTTCAATCCTGATTGTGTCTATTGCTAACAAGATGCCCTGGGCAACTCCAGTGAGCCCCAGTTTTCACCATGTGTAAAAGGGGTGCAATAATAGGGCTTGCATCCACGGGCCGCTGTGCTGAGTAAATGAGATTCAAGGGTGGGTGTGTGGTCCAGCAGACACCTGTCTTGCACAACGCTGGGTGGGTTCAAGTCCCAGATCTACTTCCCGTTACCGTACACTCCTGGACACAGCGGCGATAGCTCAGCACCAAGTAGGGGGACCTGCATGGCACTCCTGGTTCCTGGTTTCGGCTGTGGTCCGGCCCCAGCCATCCGTGGGCATGAGGATTGCAGGTGTACAGGCTGAGTGCCGTCATCACCATCACTGGTTGCTTTCTTTCTCGCTGATCAGGGGCTCAGGCTGAGCATTGCTCGCGGCGGGAAGGGAAGGAGCTGCCCAGGGGCCCGGTGGCCTCCCGCAGCTGCCCCATGCTCTCCCTTCATTCTCAGCACGACCCAGCTTCCCACTTCCCACAGAGGGAACTTCCTGCCTCCCACCCGGCCCCACGTGGCGCTCCATCTGCGCTGTCTCAGCCGGCTGGGGTGCTGGGAGCCCTCCTCCCTCCCTTGCAGGCCCCCCATCTTGTGCTTCTGTGTTCACTGTCTGCTGGGCCTCTCTCCCCTCCAGTCATGGACCCGGCAGAGCCTTCCACTAGAAGCTAGCAATCGCTTTCTGTTTTCCAGTCGGCTTTAAGTAGGTGTCCCCAAGCCAGGGACTGTGTTAAACAGAGAGTCTCGGGGTGGGCAGGTGGCAAGGTGCCAGGCCTCTGGGAACCCAGCCCTGATTCTTTCCCTTAAACCCTGGCTTGGGGCAAGGGTGGGTGGGTGGCTGGCCCAGTGGCTGAGGCACCTGTGTCCTATCCCAGCTTCAAGCTCTAGGACCTGAGCCCCGTTTCCTGCCAGCACACATCCTGGGAGGCAGTGGTTTAAGTACTTGGGTCCCTTCATCCATGGGGAGACATGAGCTGAATTCCCAGCTTCTGGCTTTGACCGGAGCCAACGTGGACATATGGGGAGTGACCCAGGAGAGCACCTGCCCGAGTCTCCATGCAGTCCCGGCTTTGGTCCAGACAGCTCCCAGGTTCCTCTTTGCTGCAGTCACCTGCTGGGCCCAAGTGGGCTCAGGGTAGCCTGGGGGGAACAGTGATTCTGACAGGGACAATGGAAGTGGTGTTGGTGCCCACAGGTGTGAGCAACACTGGCTCTAGACTGGCACGCGTGGGCCAGTGTGTGCTTGGGCCCTTTCTGTGGGGTATGAGGCTACCCAGGCATTTTAATCAGTCCACAGCCCTCTTGGCCTTGAACTCTTTCTTTTTTAAAAAAGATTTATTTTTTATTGCAAAGTCAGATATACAGAGAGGAGGACAGACAGAGAGGAAGATCTTCCGTCCGATGGTTCACTCCCCAAGTGACCACAAGGGCCAGAGCTGAGCCGATTACAAGCCAGGAGCCAGGCCTCTTCTGGGTCTCCCACGTGGGTGCAGGGTCCCAAGGCCCTGGGCTGTCCTCAACTGCTTTCCCAGGCTGCAAGCAGGGAGCTGGATGGGAACTGAAGTCACTGGGATTAGAACCAGCACCCATAAGGGATCCTGGAGCATGCAAGGTGAGGACTTTAGCCACTAGGTTACCACGCCGGGGCCTGGCCTTGAACTCTTAATTGGATGCTGGGCTGTTTCCCGACCTGTGGCCTCCCTGAGGGCTCGGGGTAGGGCAGGTCCCAGGTTTGCACTCACTTTCAGCGGCTCCTGGGATCACATGGGTGCAAGAACGGCAGCTCCAAGTGGCCACCAACCCTTCCCTTCCACACCCTGAGTGCTGGGCCCCTTCCTCCTGTGGCCTTGGACATGCCCAGGGTGGGTACTGGGCTATGTGAGGGCACCACCACAGAAGTAGACCGAGCTGCCTCCACGTATCTCCTCATCCTCAGGCCACGCCCATGCGCAGTCCACTCCCTGCACTGCTTCTCTACGGCTCGCGTCCCTCCCATCTTGTCCTCCCCCGACTTCTGAACAACTTCTCCCTGCATCTCAGCACCCACTCCTCCAGGAAGTCCTCCATGGCAGGTGCTGCTTCCAGCTCTGCTGATGGAGACAGGTGTGTCTGTCTCTGTCCCATCCACAGGCCCAGAGTTCCCCAGAGGGAGGGACGGGATTGCAGCCTTTCCCCACCCTACCCAGGCATACAGGGTCCATCTCTGGGGGTCCATGCTCCCTGTTGTGTCCCCACTCCCTTCCAGCCTGTTGTCCACAAGCTGTCCGCAGTAGAAGAGGAATTCATCCTCACGCCTGTCCCCAGGTACACTCTGCCTCTGACCCAGTTCCGATGCATGTGACTTCAGAGGCTCCAAGGGGAACTACAGAAACGGCACGGGCCTTGAGGCTTAGCAGGGCTGGCCTGCATCCTGACATGTGCCACTTTCTAGCTGGGTGACCTTGAGCAAGTCGCGCCATGTCTCTGAGCCCCTGCAGCTTCGTTTCCACCTCCACGAGGAGGAGAGAAAGTTGCAGCCACGGTACTGGCACCCTCTGCTCCCTGCATGCCAGGTCCTGTTCAAACCCCTCTGAGCAGGCTCTGTGTGGTAACCTAGTGGCTAAAATCCTCACCTTGCATCTGCTGGGATCCCATACAGGCGCTGTTTCTAATCCTGGTGGCCCCACTTCCCATCGAGCTCCATGTTTGTGGCATGGGAAAGCAGTTAAGGATGACCCAAGGCCTTAGGACCCTGCATCCATGTGGGAGACCCGGAAGAGGCTCCAGGTTCCTGGCTTTGGATTGGTGAAGCTCCAGCCTTTGCGGCCATTTAGGAAGTAAATCAACAGACAGAAGTTCTTGTTCTCTGTATGTCTGACTTTCCAATGAAAAAGAAATAAGTCTTAAAAAAACCAACCTCTGAGCTCTCCGACATATGAGAAGGTCCCCACATGACCCCTTGGAAAGGAGCAAAGCGAGGCACCAAGGGACCATGTCCCTTGCCTGGGATCACCCAACAAGCTCCAGGATGGGCTCCAGAGTGGGTACTCTCAACACCCCATGGTTTTGCTTTATTTTTTCTTATTCTAGAATGATGGAAATCTCTCTCCCAGGACCCTCAGTAGCCAGGCCAGGAAACTGAGGCCTTCTGGCTTCTTTGTCTCGCTCCCGCTGAGTGCCTGGCACCTGTCAGCCAGGACGCCGCACCCCTATTAGCCGATTTGCTCCTCCTACAATCTCAGGTCAGGCACCAAAAGTGCAGCAGGACACGCCCCTGGGGTTACAAAGCCAGGGTCCAGTAACAGTGCAAACTCCATCCTCAAATTTAGCTCACCAATATTGTTGCCGCTGCACCTGTTGGAAGGCACAGCTGTGAACATCCCCATCCATGGCACTGTCTCCCCACACTTGGTTGACTGCTGTCCACCCCAGGCAGCCTCTCGCCCCTCTCCAGGGTGTAGCCTTGCTAGGCCCCAGGGAACCCACCACTTCCCGCCTGTATTACTGAGGGTGGGT